AACGTTGTTAATTATCTAATAAAAAGTCCCCGGCCAAGAGGTCACCTTAACACCGAAAAAAAAAAAAAAAAAAAATTTTTTTATAACTATTATAATTTGCTTGGACAGTCTTGGCTTTCAAATTTATACAGTACTGGACAGCAAAAAAATCCAATTTTTTTTAAAAGTGCCAAAATTTGAGATTTATACTCAAATATGATTGGCTAATTTTTGTGTAACATGATTCCGATGGTTAAAAATCTATAAAATTATATATTAAATGCCAAATTTTTAATTACATATAAACTTTAGGCTCTAATAACTTTTATATTTATAACAAATAAAAATTTGTCGTACAGAATTGTAGCTTAGATTAAAAGAAACAAATTTGTAAGACAGATTTTTTTTAAAGTCATTTGTTCATTAGTTATAAGCATTTTTATATTTATATATAAAAAGTGGATGTTTCTTGCTGTCCGGTACTGTACTAATTTAAACCATGGTCATATTCTTTTTATTATAACAGGATTAACTATATTAATCTTGAATATCGACATCCATCACTACACATATGTTATAAGATGTCTTGTATACACATTCAAGTATAAAATTTGCAAGTGCACTAGGATTAAATGGTTCTTGATACCGTGCTTCACGAAGACATTGTAAATACACATCTCGTGTTTTAGATCCTGTATATAAAGAAAGAGGTACCACTGTGAATTTTGATAAGAGGTAACTCAAAAGCAATCTCGTTACTCTTCCGTTTCCATTTATAAAAGGGTGAATTGTCAAGAAATAGACAAGAAAACACGCCCCGTATTTAATAGCTTCTTCCAACTGCAAGTCTATCCTTCCAAATTTCTCTCTACATTGACAGAATAACTCATTCATTTTATCCTCGATTAAATTCGGTGCCATATATACATAGTTTTCTTGTGCCGCCATAACATGTCGCGTTCTATATTGACCTGCGTTACTAATCAATTCATTTCCAATTTGTCGGTGCAACTGCTGTGCGAACGAAGGTGTAAACTGATCAATTGGAAGATCAGGAAAAAAGATTGATGGAAAGATACCAATAATGGCATCGTGGATATTTTTCACTTTCCTATTCAAACGTAAAGATCTTTCGGGTATGAAGCATGCAAAAATTTTTCCACATAGCAATTTAAGAATACCAGGTTTTTTTAGAGCCTGTCGTATAGAGTCGATAGTAAGGTCAATGTTACTTTCTGCGGAAATACATTCAAGCAGATAACGTTCACGATGAAGGTCAATATATCCCTTCCATAAGAGCGGGTCACTTTCGTTAACAGCTAATAATATGACACGTTGGTGGCGCTTGGCATCTAAAACAAAAGAATTAGCATCGCGTTCATCATAAGAGGGTTTCCACCAGGGTCTATCTAAAAAGTCAAATTTTGAATATATCATTGACGTCTAATATGAAATCAGTCGTCAGTTATAGTAGTATTTAAACCCGTTAAGATTCAAATTTAAAAAAGTAAAAAAATATACATTTTTAACTTTTCTATTGTCCTGAACTTTTAATCTCAAAGCTTCTTGTCTGCTTCCTTCTCCTCCTTGTTCTGGACTTTCCATTTGACAATAAAAAAGAGCGCGAACGAGATTGTGATAAACTAGAAACGGGAAATTTATACTTAAACGATTTGTCACGCAGATCACGGGGTAAAATGACGCAAATTTTCATATGAAATTTTACCGTATAGGCGCGTAATAACGCACATGGGCGTTATTTCGAAAATTCCATTTTTTTGAAAATCGCATATTTGACTCAAAATAACGCCCATGCGCGTTCCGAAATAACGCGCCCCACATATATAGTCTCAGATAAGCTTTTAACAGTTGTAACATTTTTCTTCAAAATTAGGATAATTATTCGAATTATCGCGCATGCGCGTCCCGAAATAACGCGCAGGGGTTCGAAATAACGCGCCCCTGCGCGTTATTACGCGCCTATACGGTATCAAGAGCACAAAATAATGCAAGTTCTTATTTTTTACGCAATTTACATATTAAAATTTCAAATGATGTAGCCGTTAGCCTCATAAGACCTGCGGAGCAGTGATTTACACTTTCACAGTTACTCCAACTTATCTTATCTACAACTTATATAACGTTATTATCGATTACGTGTAGAGTTATTACCCGGGTCGTATGACCCGTACGGGCCACCCGACCCGACGGGTTACTGGTCAAAAATTGCTCTAACCCGAGTCAAACGGGTCAGAATTCAAAATATGCAAAAACCTACTAAAATGCTATATTACGTAATTTACCCAATATAACTATATGGGTAGATAATTTACTAAATATGTTGTAAAGCTCTTACCTGGGTCTTCTGACCCGTGCGGGTCAGCTTCTTGAAAGGTCACGTATTTTCTGAAGCAGAAAATGAACGAACTCAAATCACAAGCAAGATCGAAATTTTTCAATACAAAATCCAAAAAATTCCAGTTAAATACTTGGAATACAGTCTGTTCTATACTAACAGCTCTAATTAAGTGTCGCTACATCAACTTTACGAATTAACTTCAAAAACTTTATGAATTTCCGTTTGACCCATTGACCCGAAAATTGACAGGGCATAGTATCGATTTTCTGGTCACGTGATTTTCTGATGCAATATAAAAAAAATTTATTTATGTTAGGTTTGGGTCAGGGTTTAGGTTAGGGTTTGGGTTTGAGAGCTATTATATATATAGTAAAATTGTGTGAGAAAATTTTTTTGTTAGGACCAAAAAAGCGATTTACTAGTCTATATTTCACGATAAACATACCGTAAAATCTGGACACATGTACCCTGGGTATTTTCATTACCCACTTTAGTACCCGGGGTACCTCTATATAGGGGGTATGCCATATTAATAAGGGTACGTAGATCGAGGTGGCTAGTTGATCGAACTTCCACTTTCATATAAAAAAATGCGATATTGGGCTTTCAATTTTATTCTTGATTATTTACCAAATTCAGCCAACGAATATCCGGGCTGAATCCGATAAATAATTGAGATAAACTTGAAATTCTGATATCACACTGACACTATTTCACATGAATTAGTCAGCAAAAGAATTCTTGCATATTTAAACATTTTGTCTAAAAAAATTTTTTTTTTAATCCATTTTTTTTTTTTGATTTGAAAGTATAATATACATTAAATATTAACATTCTTTCATTTATTTTTTAAACCGTTTGTTCATATTCAAAGGAGTGCTCATTGTCTTGCCTTAACGGCTTGACAATTGGATAGAATTTTTTTTTACTAAATTGTTTTTTTCTTGAGCTTTACTATCATATACATGAACTGTGAAAGTCTCATATTGCTTTAAGCAAGACATCGGCTCTAGGGTAGCCCTAAAGCTACCCTAACAGCTCAGCAATTTGGATTGGACTTTTTTTTCCCACTAAATTCATTTTTTTTTTCAAATTTTTTTAAATTCCTTTAAATCCTTTCTCATAACATCAAAAATATTTATAGATGATATGCCTAAATTAATAAAAAATATTCTTAATAATTTAAATAATGAATTTCATTTCTTATATAGTACTTGTTTACTGTGTGTATTTTTTTTATAAATTTATTGTTGATATGAACTGGACTTTATTTTTCACCTTTAAATTCATCATTGCCGCTATACATGTTGTGCAATATTCTTCTTAAATAAAAACCTAAACCATGAATTCTTCAGAATGTGTTAAAAAAAAATATCTTCATGAAATAAAAGTATTACAAAAAAAGCCTGTACTGGTAATAAAAAAGTTCAGTGTAACTAAAGTGTTTGTGAAAAACTTATAGTAATTTATTATCTTGAACATATTAAAAATATAAGAGCTATCGCAAAGCAGTTTGATATTGAATCTAAACAGGTTCGTGACTGATAAAGCAAGAAACAAAAACTTCTAAATTCTGCATCTTATCTTTTAACTCTTAATCGTGGCCAACCAGCCTAGTACCCACTTTTAGAAAGAAGGCTGGTTAAATAAATTGAAGCTCTTCATAGTAAACAGATGGCTATTATATGAAAAATAGTTGTTATAAGAGCTAAGCAATTAGTTAAAATTAATAAGATAAAGGATACATATCCTAATATTGGTGATTTTAAATTTTCTAATAGTTGGCTATGTAGATTTTTGTATCGTAATAAGTTATCAAATCGCCAATACACAACAGTTTCGCAGCATTTCTCTAAAGATCTTATTAATCTACAAAATGAGTTTTTAAGTTTAGTTTTGTTCAAACACCACCAATACAATTATGAAATCCATTATATTGGAAACATGGACGAAACACCTTTGTTATTTGACCTGCCATATCTAGTAACTCTTGATAAATGTGGGGCCAAAACAATAGGCATCTGAACAACTAGACATGAGAGGATCTCTTTTACTGTAATTTTGGGATGTCTTGCAGATAGAAGAAAGCTTTTACTAGTATGCATCTTTAAATTAAAGAACATTCACTATGAAATTTTTTCTGAAGGTGTCATTATTTATGTAAGTACAAAAGAGTGATACAATAAGGAGAAGATGTGGTCTGAGTATAATAAATTGAGAAACCCCCAATCTTTTCTTGTTTTGGATTTGTTTAAAGGACATACTGTAGATCCCATTAAGCATGAATTTCATAGAAATAATATCCATCTTGCTATAATTCCAGAAGGACTAACCAGTAAATTGCAACCTCTTGACATTGCAATAAACAAATATTTTAAGGAAAAGGTATAGTATATTAAAATATTTTTTGTTATTCATAGAGTATACTAATAGAATAAAGTTTAAATGATAGGTGTGCTTTCGTTATAACTAGTAGATGATCAACAACTCTCATCAATTTATGCCTGCTAGATATATTCGAAAGCCGTCGTATTTCACTTTAGCTTAATAGGTAAGAGATTCATAGGATGAAGTTAATCCCCATATAATTAGAAAGGCGTTTAAGTGTTGCGGTATCTCAGTAGCAATAGATAGGTCTAAAGACGATTTGGTGTTTGATTATGAAGCTTTGGGTGAAGATTTGAAAAATGTGAATGAAAAAAGTATTAAAGAATTGAATGTAAATGATATTAGTAGTGAGGAGTATGAAGAAACTGAGGTTGATAACAATTGAGAATATTGATTAAATTTTTTTTTTTTTGAATAATAATGCTTGTCGCTAAGTTTTTTTATTTAGTGCAATATGTGCACTTTACAAAAATGAAATTGTGTACTGAATTGGAGTTGTATTAATTAGTATAAATAAACTTGAATGGTATTAGAATGTAGAAAAACTTTGTGCATATAAATAATGTAAAAAATTTGTCCATTTTTAATACTAGCCAATTATGAGATTTTAATTAATGGTCTTTTTTCCAGTTTGAGACCTTAAAGATAAACAATAGGTTGGCAAAAAATTTACATAACAAACTAACTTTTATACTCTAATAAAAATTTTTCTTGCAAAATTTTACTATAATATTCTTTATAATAATTTTAATACATATTATAAATTTAATGATTATTGTGGTTTGCATAATTTTGTAATCTCTATTATTAATTTTTTTAAGATTAAATGATTGTGATTGCAATCGTGATTGCTAAAGCTAGCCAATTTATAATGAACCTAAATTTGTATCAAGCTCAGATTTATGATAAATTAACTGGCTTTAACAATCATGATTGCAATTACAAATCTCTATATACATGATCTTTCATATTTAATACATCATTGAATTAGTGGTTCTTATTTTTATTGTGTTTATTTTGCCAGTAAATCAATTGTAGTTTAATTTAAAACTGGTTTTTTACAACTTTGTATATATTATATTTAGTATTTAATGATACATTATTAGAAAATATAGTTAATACCCGGGTATAAGTCACAAACCAGCGCTTCAAACTGGCAAGAGGTACACCACATGGGGTATATGTGTCTGGATTTTATGGTAAATTTTGCAAAGCAAATGTTTGTTTTGATTTTCTTTATATTACACCTGATCTCAGTTTTTAATTGGCTAACTGTAATCAGAAAATTATGTAATCAGAAAATCACATGAACAGAAAATCGATCTTGATCTGGGTTATAACCCGGGTCAGTATTTTCTAACCTGGGTAAGATCTCTAATTACGTGAAATCAAAGGTTTTTCAATTAATACATTCTCTATATTTATATATCTTTTGAGAAATAGTAACTTCTAGATTCTCATTATACTATACCTCAATAAGGTATATACTATTAAGTTGATATTGACATTTTTTCCTCTGATTATGATTAACAATATCCTCAAGTTTTTTGATATCTTTATACCAGCTAGTATTATGAAGCTGATGTTGTGCTCCTTGCACTTCCAATGCAATTCAATGATCTCGAAAGAAAGCATTAAGCTTTAATTCCTCCATAAAAGATAGATGTTATTTAATCACAGGTTCTTTTCCAATCAATACTTGAGCTATTAAGATATATTTCTCCTGAAATTTACAATTGTTCTTAAGTTTTAATTCTTTTTTTAACTCATCTATATCTTTTTTCAGCTTTTCAATTTTGTTTCTAAGCCAGAGATTATTATTTACTAGGTTGGTATTAAATTTTTCTAGCATAACAAT